GGGGGTGATTTAATTTTTGAGAAGAGTGGGTAGCTTCTTTCGGTTTCAAGACTTTCTTACTTTTAAAAAGTTCCACAACATTTTGAGAAGTTTTACAAATTTCGAAACTGTTAAAGACATTTGAATTCTTGCTCTACATCAAATTTTAACCCGGAGAACAAAAAACCCTGGCTAGTTTGTTTGTTCGTTCTTTAGTTCGGTCTTGCAAACATCTCTCTCAGTTTTAAAATTTGCCTGATTGTAAGACATGCAAATGTTAAGGCCAAAAACCTAAAAGTTTGCCAACCATAAAAAAAAAGATATTTAGGGGGAATTAATTATATGAGTATTTGTGTTCTTGAAAGTGTCAATAAGGATGACGTCACAAGACTTGCTTTTTGATGGTTTTTATGTTTCCCCCAGAACATCAATAATTTTCGTATAATCCCTGAAAATATATAATCCTTGACCATTTATAAATTCTGATAATAATGAATAAGAAATCGATGAATTTTTCATTGAAAAGTAACTATTTTCAACGGTGACCCGCGGATTTCTGCTTTAGATTAGAAAAATGGAAGAAATTGCCGAAAGAATTATGTAATTCTGTTTTACAATAAGTTTTTCTATTTGTAGAAAATTTGGAATACAGCGAATACTAAATGTTGGAAGTGGGATAGAGAACTTATTCCCTGAAGAATTCCTTTACTCGAATATAGAAATACTTGATGTACCTGAATTCAACATTGTACCAGGTATGTACGTACATCTTGTACACTGTGCACCATTGTAAATTGTAAATTTCACAATATTGCTAGAGTTATATTTAGCTGGAGGGTGAGGGGATGATGAAAATGGGACTGCTTGACAAGCATTTTTTTGCCTTTTTTTATTTCATGCATTTTAAAAAAACAAAGTCACCAATAAGCCAGATTTTTTTTTCGTTTGGGAGAGGGGGTAGTTAGATTATTTAAGATAAAATATAGCAGTGGCGTATTCAGGAGGGGGCAGTAGTCCTCTTGCCCCCCCCCCCTGGAAAATACAAAATTAAAAGGAAACTACGTAACTAAGTAACACCTGACAATGCCAAAGACTAAGGATTGTCTAAATTCACTGTTAATACAAAATTTTAAGATACTTTAAAATAAATTATATAAATGTCGTCTTACTTAACGATCTTGCACTTATAGCTTTACACCCTATAAGGCTGTCTGAGCTCTCTACTGAGAAAATCATTGAAATGTTTGTGCAAGCAAATCCCAGAAAATTGAAGCTTAAAAGAGTTAGTGAATGTGTAAATGTAGTAAATTCTATCTAAAAATTTCAGAAGAAATTTCGTTTATTAGTGAAAATATAATTTTTTAATGCTGCTGTGAATTATTGATTTAGTTAGCTGTGATGGAGCTAAGTGATAAATTTATAAAATTAAAAGGTTAAAGTTAGCTTTTCGAGCAAAGGAATAATTTTTAGACTCTGTAAGGTTAGGCGCTACGACATCTGCTCTATTTCCATTTGCTCTATGGCCAGTTGCTCTAGTTCCATTTGCTCTGTAGCTCATAGATCACGACGTTTGCTCTATATGTCATCTGATCTATACGTCAATTGATCTATGACATAACACGTCATTTTCTCTATACACATTTTTATGACTGTGATGGTCCAATTGCTCTACTCAACATTTGCTCTATGAGTAAAGAATCTATGAAAAATCATAAAGGAAGGAATAAACAACTCTACAGATCTGTTTAAGATTTAAAGGTGTGCGCTGATATTCTTGAGAAAAGTAGAAAATCTGGAGAAAGATGTTTCGTACATTGTAATGCAGGGGTAGGTATACTCTATCTAACTTAATTACATTAGTTTTTTCCCGCATTTTGAAAATATTCTAAAAGAAATTGATCTTTTTTATTTAGGTAAGCCGAGCCCCTACAGTAGTTATCGGATACTTAGTTCTCAAGCAAAGTATGGATTTCACCTCAGCTCTAGAAATGGTCAAACAGGCTAGAACCTGTGCCAAACCAAACCAGGGATTTATGAATCAATTAATGCAACTAAAATAAAAGAATTCCCAAAGTTGCATTAAAATGTACGCCAGCTAATGGTAGAAGAACCAGAGGATGACCAAAAACCACCTGGCGGAGAACTATGAAAACGTATCTAGAGAAACTTGGCCTTTCTATTGGAGAGGCTGAAACTGTTGCTCAAGACCGAAGAAGGTGGATGAGCTTACTGGGTCAGTAAGAAAGTAATGCAACTAAAGCTCTCTGACTAAATTACTCTCTCAAATTAATAGTATGCACAAAATGCACAAAATGTTTGTTTGTGTTTGCGACTCCAGGGTACTTCAAGTAGAAGTTTAGCGGAGTACTCTGGTTTATATTGGATTAAAATTATCCAATGAACCATGAACAAACCATGGATGTGGTGCTAAAAGAAGAAGCACAGCATGAACTAAACAAGTGTTTAAACTAAAATGGTTCTGTAGTCGTAGCCCTCTATTAACAGAGTGACATGCCTGACCTGATTCACAACTGCGCCCTCTAGGTTTTTTTTTAATTAAGCCAAGCCTAGACTTCTAAGGAATTAGTATAATTTTACAAATATCGTTGTTTTCAATCTTAGAATATATTTTCTCAATTTATTTTGTGATTTCTTCAGCATAAATCCTAAAGTTAAATAGAGAAATAACCTTTGAGAATGATAAATTTTCTTTAAATAAAGGTTAACTTGAAATTACGATATGCAGTCCCTGTAATATGAAATGATTGAATTGCAGAGAAGAATGCTGGGCAATGACTGAGGATGAAAATGATCTACATTTTCAAACCAGTTTATGGAAGATGAGTTTTCTATCTCCAGCTAGTTCTCCTCCATCCTCTTCCTCAACTCCTAACCTGCTCTCTCCTTTAGAAACAGGTTATTAGATTTATTGCGGCGCATTTTCTGATTTTAATTTTGCAAAATTTTACTTTCTTCTCTAGATTAGTTAAAGGGACTGTAAGCGTAATTTCAGGTGATCTTTCCTTTCTAGAGGGGCATCCCAGATTTAAAATGATACCCTTTAAACCTTTGACTGATCAAGGACGTCAGAAATTTCATTATTACTAAATCAGGCATTGCCCTCGTTGCATACTTGCATAGAGGGTCACTTTAAATTACGGTCCCTTAAATATAAATTATAAGGGGGCAACATTTTTGAATGGGATCGATAGCGCTTAGATTCAGCGACTGCTTAAACTTAACACTTTAAAATAGAACGATTTTAAACCAAAGGAAGGGAAAGTTGTAAATACCTGGAACTAGCTAGCAAACAAAGAGGCGTCCAGTGTCAAGGTTGACTCGTTTAAGATTTAAATGATTAAGACTAGTAAATATGAAAATATTTAGAAATGAAGGAAGAGGAAACTGTTCAACAAAATGAGGATAAAGTTCATATTCAAGGATATACAAACCACTCTCAAAAAACTAAGACGATGATCATGAAAAATCTGGAAGAGATAAACCTCTCTGAATCTGTCCCAAAAGAAGGGTTAAACCGTTCTGACTCCGTCCTGAAAGACAGGATAAACCATCCTGACTCCGCCCTTGAGGACAGGATATACCGTCCCGACTCCGTCTTAGAAGACAGGATAGCCCATCCTGACTCCGCCCTTGAGGACAGGATAGACCGTCCTTACTCCGCCCTTGAGGACAGGATAGACCGTCCTGACTCCGTCTTAGAAGACAGGATAAACCATCCTGACTCCGCCCTGGAAGATGGAAAAGGAGGTCTCATCTCCTCCCTGGAAACTCCCCTAAGCCGTCCTGACTCCGCTTTGGACCTGGAGCTTCCCAATGCTCAGCGTAGGATATCTGTTGATGGCCAAGAAAGTAATTCAACTGTATCAAGCGAAATCAAAGATAAGATTGGATCACAAACAAGTGAAACTCAATCATCTAGCATGGGATCCTTTGGATCCATGGAGCCAGAATCTGGGGTTTGGATTAAAAACGATGGTAGTCAATACTTAGCTCCACCCTCCCGTCAGTCTGTCATGGATTCTCTTTCAAAATTTGGGATTCCTGGTATCAGGTTAGTTCTGACAAATTATTTAATATTCTTTATCTTAAACAAGAGTGTAAAGAATAAAGCACATATTGTTAATATCCCACCATTTTTAGCAAATGTTTTATTTGAAAGCTGAGTTACATTGCTTGAGTTCAAAACCCATTGCTGAAGTTAGAATATGGTTAGCTTGAGTTAGAATATGGTAAGCTGGAGTTAGAATATGGTTAGCTGGAATTAGAATATGGTTAGCTGGAATTAGAATATGGTTAGCTGGAGTTAGAAAATAGTTAGCCGGAGTTAGAAAATTGCTAGCTGGAGTTAGAATATGGCTAGCTGGAGTTGGAATATGGTTAGTTGGAGTTAGAATATGGTTAGCTGGAGATAGAATATGGTTAGCTGGAATTAGGATATGGTTAGTTGGAGTTAGAATATGGTAAGCTGGAATTAGAATATGGTTAGCTGGAGTTAGAAAATTGCTAGCTGGAGTTAGAATATGGCTAGCTGGAGTTGGAATATGGTTAGTTGGAGTTAGAATATGGTTAGCTGGAATTAGAATATGGTTAGCTGGAGTTAGAATATGATTAGTTGGAGTTAGAATATGGTAAGCTGGAGTTAGAATTCGGTTTCCTGGAGTAAGAATTTGGTTAGCTGGAGTTAGAATATGGTAAGCTGGAGTTAGAATATGGTTAGGTGGAGTTAGAATTTGGTAATCTGGAGTTAGAATATGGCTAGCTGGAGTAAGAATATGGTTATTCGGAATTAGAACATGGTTAGCTGGAGTTAGAATATGGTCAGCTTTAGTTAGAATATGGTTAGTTGGAGTTAGAATATGGTTAGTTGGAGTTAGAATGTGGTCAGCTTGAGTTAGAATATGGTTAGCTGGAGTTAGAATATGGTTAGTTGGAGTTAGAATGTGGTTAGCTGGAGTTAGAATATGGTAAGCTGTTGAGCTGGGATATAATTAAGCTAGCTGGCTGAGAAACTATGCATATGGTTTCAAAGAAATAAGGAAGACCCAAATTGTTGACATTTATCCAGTTCTCTATCTTCAGGTATTCACTTCCGCGCTTCAGCTTGGAAAAAGATGCGCCGGATCGGCTAATCAGCCTACGCGCTGATGCTCTTGAGATTATTGAACCTGTCTCCAATAAAAATATATTAGAGGTAGGAAATAGGTGACTGGGGCCCTGAAAACCAGGGAAAATGAAAACGACATTTAAGTAATGTATGTTTAATATTTTTTATTTTCATTTATTGTTGATATTTTTAAATTTTGATGAAAAACCTTTGAATGTACTAGTGATTTATATCCAGTTGGTTCGCTTCTTTCAGGCGTTTTTTTAGCAAGATTTTCTTTCAGGGTCAAAATTTGTCCATGAACTCCTACCATGTCAATTTTTTACATTAACTGAAGATATCTGCAAATACGGCACAAAAACGATCTAAAACCGATCCAAAAACAAAAATTATTAACAGTGCTAATTCATACTTAATCAAACAAAGTATAAATTAAATGGTACTGTTTGGAATCTGGTCACTTAAAATTTCACTTGCAGTTCTTTAAAGGTTTCAATTTTCAGGAAAGAAGAAATCTGGCAGTAATGAAAACATTTGGAGCTTTAAAACAGTCTGGAGGAAAGGTAGATTTAGGTAAACAAATAAGAAATTATTATATATGTACATCGTATGACGTACGGCATCTGAATATGCTTACTTGTGCCGTTATGTACTGACCTTAATATTTATATTTGTACGTCATGTGAATGTACTGATCGTCTTATTTGTATGAACTGACCGTCATGTGAACATACTGACCTGAATTTTTTATACTGTTCATACTGTTTTTATTTACTGCCCTCATTTTTTATCCTGACTCTAAAATGTTGTGCACTAACCGACATGAATGTATATTATTTAATGCAGTCATGCTTTTGTACTGACCGACATAGTTATATACTCATTGTCATCCCAAGTGTAACCTGGATCTGAGGTTAGAAATTGATATTCCCATAGGTGAGCAGGCTAAATTGTTTATGTACTGACCTAGTTGCCTAATTGCCTTTATAGAAAGTCTTGTGAGCCTAAGAAGAGTTACTGTTCAAACTATTGGGAGACCACCGTCCAGAGCTCAGGTTGGTTATTTTAGAAAGTGTTCAAAGGGACTGTCAACGTAATTTGAGTAAGAATTTCCATTTCTATCCATGTTGACTCTTTTTAAGTCAAGATCTTATTAGCCGTGACTTTCTAATAATATAAATGGATTTCTACAGCATAGATATTAGATACTAGACTTTTAGGGCTTTTTGCCCCCATCTTCTATTGCTCTCTCTGTTATCTTTTTCTATAGTGCTTACATTGTAAAACAAAAACAAAGAAAGTTCGCGGATTTAAAAATATGTTTTCGTGGATTTTCATAATTTTATGAAAATCGATATTTTTTGGATGCAAATTTTATATCCAAGAACCTTTCCTGGAGTCATGTGAGGTCCTTCACAAAATTGGGCCTGATCGTTTCAGCCGTTTTGACGTTTTAAACAAACAAACAGACAGACAAACAAATTAAATATAGAAGCAATTAAAAAGGTTTTCCCATTTTCGATCCAATTTTGAAATTACTTTTTCAATCCTTTTAGATAACTGTTTACAGATGACAGAATATAAACAGTTCAAAAATAACGTTAAAAAGTAAAAAATGACATGATGAAGTTAAATTGATCGGAATTAATCCAGGTTGAAGATTGGATCCGTGTCAGGGCAGCACTAACCAAGGTTCGAAGAAAAGAAGACAAGAAACCTTCAAGGTATCTTTTAATTGAAGGGTAACAATAGATTAGCGGTGAAAACCGGATCCGGATCTAGGTCAGAAACATTTCTTTAAGATTTCTGATCTTTTTTGAACAAATAAAAAATATAAAGTTTTTTTTCTCGCTGTTTTATGTTGAATCATTCAGAGATTATGAAGTTTTAATTAATTTTTCCCTGGCTTTGGTTGATATTTTTCCCTATTGATCCGGATCCTAAGCTTTGCCTCTACAGTCTTCATAATTAATTTAGGTTGACATATATAAGAAAATATGGGACTAAATTGTTTTTTTTTATCTTAATTTTTGTTTGAGTCAAAATAAATTAGTAAATTGGACTAAATTCAGATCAGTTTCTGGATCCAGATATGTTTGTATTTTGTTATGGATCTGAAGCTATATAAAGATATATCTATTCGATGTTTAGGGTTAAACAGGTTATACTGGTGAGAGAGAATCTGGATGACTCTGAGGGTTCTGAACTCTCCTGCTCCCTTCCATCTAGTCCTTGTTCAAGTTCTCAATCCTCCCCATCATGCTCACCATCATCAACCCCATCTCCTCGACCAGTCGGAACCAAAAATCCGAGAAAAACTCGCCAAAAACGGAAACCAAATGATCTGAACACCAGTGATCTCACAAATCTGACGAGTCCTCAACTTGAACCCCTGAAAGAGAATAGAGAAAAGAATTCCTGTTCCCCTGATTTATTTGCAGATTCTCCTATATTTACTCCTTCTACCCGATCCAGAAATCCATCCTGTGATATCATCACCAGGGTTAATCATATGATATCACCCATACTGTCAAGACACAACCCGTCCCAAACTAAAAGTATGAATGAGCATGAAAAGCATGACAATAATGATGATAGTGATGAGCATATGTTTGAAGATTCTCCAATTCTCCGCAAATCCCAGTCTTGGAGAACAACTTCTCAGTCCCTGAACTTGTCCAGGTTTTATTTTTTAAATGTTCAGATATAAAAACAAAAGTTTCACTTATTATGTATCAAAATAATTTACTGAAGCATCTTTGCTCTATTAACTTTGCTTCTTGAGGTTGTAAATTTTTTTATTAAAAAAGACGTAAAATTTTTTTTTTTATGATATTAGAGGAAAATAAATAAATTTTGGGGAAAAGATTTCACAATTGATGTAAAAACTTGCTATTTCCTCCAATTTATCAAAATTCGCCCCCCCCGCCCCCCCCTGGGGAGGGGGGTCGTGTAATTCTTAAAATTATACACCCCTGCTTTAATTCAACCTTACTTTTTCTAGTTTTCTGAACGAAAGTGTGGAGACGATCCCTAAGAGAACACCTAATTCCAGTCGATATATTCCAGACCAAACCTTAATCACTCCTCATCCTGAAACCAACTTTTCTAAGAAAGATGATCCTGAAACTAAACTGTCTCAGAAAGATGCTCCTGAATCTAAACTGTCTAAGAAAGATGGTCCTGAAACTGATCTGTCCCAAAAAGATGGCCCTGAGGCCAGCTTGTCTCAGAAAGATGACTCTGAAATCAACTTTTCGAAGAAAGATGACCCTGAGACCAACTTGTCTCAGAAAAATGACCCAAAAACCAACTTGTCTCAGAAAGATGACCCTGAAACCAACTTGTCTCAGACAGATGACCCTGAAACCAACTCGTCTGAGAAGAATGGGTTGATTGAAACTACTCCTATTTTAAAAAGAGAAATGAAACCAGGTCGGTGTAGTATATATAGTGTTGTTAAGTTTTTGTTAGCTTTTAAGTTTATCCAACAGCTGTACTGTACTCTAGTCCAGTGCACTGCACTACACGGGGTATTGAATAAATGTAAAACACTATTTAATTTCAACAATTGTCCGATAATTTCAGGGAAAACGCTAAAAAGAAGGATATCTTGGAACCTTCCTAACTCGCAGAAACAGCGGATATCAGAACCTATCCTTGATCCACAACCCGTTAAACCTGGCTCCAATCCTGAATCCCTAGATGATACTGAAAGCCCCCTGAGTAAAACACTGCAAGATAAACTAGAGAATTCTACAATAATTCGAAAATATCTGACTCCAGAGCTTGTCAAGAAATCTAGATCCCAGGTTAGTTATTTTTGGAAGCTAAGAATAATATTTATAAAAGGACCGAAACATATATATTTAAGTGATTCTACAGTTAAAGAGTGACAAGCCCGAGCCATTGAAACATATATATTTAAGTGATCCTCCAGTTAAAGAGTGACAAGCCCGAGCCACCGAAACATATATATTTAAGTGATCCTCCAGTTAAAGAGTGACAAGCCCAAGCCACCGAAACATATGTATTTAAGTGATCCTCCAGTTAAAGAGTGACAAGTCCAAGCCACCGAAACATATATACTTAAGTGATCCTCCAGTTAAAGAGTGACAAGCCCGAGCCACTGAAACATATATATATATGTGATTCTCCAGTTTAAGTGTGACAAGCCCAAGCCACTGAAACATAAATATTTAAGTGATTCTCCAGTTAAAGAGTGACAAGCCCGAGCCACGGAAACATATATATTTAAGTGATCCTTCAGTCAAAGAGTGAAAAGCCCGAGCCACTGAAACATATATATTTAAGTGATCCTCCATTTAAAGAGTGACAAGCCCGAGCCACTGAAACATATATATATATGTGATTCTCCAGTTTAAGTGTGACAAGCCCAAGCCACTGAAATATATATTTAAGTGATCCTCCAGTTAAAGATTGACAAGCCCGAGCCACAACGGACCCTTAAAAGCTTTGTCTGCTGAACAATAAATGATATTTGTTATTGTGATTTCTCTGTAAAAGAGACTTGAACAGTTCTGTTACTTAGACAATAAAGGAAGAAATTGAGGGTCAGACAATCCCTTAAATATTTTCCTATGTTATTTTGACACTATTTTGACACACATTGAAATATCTTGAGTTGAAAAGAAATTTTAAGGATTTTTTGCAAAATAAATTTTATTTTTAATGTATAACAGTATGATGGAGGAGATACAAGGCAGCTGGGGATTAAATGAGATAGAGAATATAACTCGATCTGGTTTCTTCTTTTTCTCCACTTTCTTTAAAGCAACTTCTCTAGGTGGCATAGGCTTCTTTCATCTCATTGGACCCTTCAGTCTCAACTTCTAAATGGACCAAGTACTCCTGAGTACTTTTATTGAGCGATATTTTTATTTCTTTCTCACATTCTCCTTGTCTTCACCTACTTCTAGTTCTTATACCGCTCTCGGGGGTTGGGAGAAAGAACATTCTTTATCTTCTATATCTTTATTTCTTAGCTGTGTACATTGTTGAATTTTTTTATATGTAAATATCTATATATATAAAGTTGTAATTTCTGTTTGCCTGCCTGTTTGTTTGTATGTCCGATCATAACTCAGGAACCCATGAACCGATTTGCCTCAAATTTTGATTGGGGAACGGGAGAGCCACGGAAAATCGACTATGTGCGGGTAAACGGCAGGAGTAAAACTATGAGTAATCTAGGTAATGCTGGGTTTGTAGCTAGTGATTAATAAAGGCTGATATTTATAGGATGTATCATAGTTAGTCCTGGTAAAGCTGACCTTTTTAAGATGACCGGTATTACTGGGGTCAGAGTTAGATATGTAGAGACAGAGGTATGATATAATATTGTTATTAGTATTGATTTTATTTGATATTGTTATTGTTGGTTTTAATAATAATTAGTAATTAATAATTAAGGGCGGCTTCAGGATTTAAGATAGGAAGGTAAAATAACATATCCGCACGAGATAAAAAAGTTTACCATAAGAAGGCTGAAAGTAAGGAAAGAAATTTTTGTTCAAAATAAAAAAATATCCCCCCGTCTTCCAATCTGCAATAATTTAGTTCTCTTGGGCCGCTTGAAATAAAATCCTTTAGTCCGAAATTGAGGCAAGCCACTTTGGGTGCATCGCCATTCTTTTCAGCTTGACCCTCCTGTCGGCAGGGTCATAGATGACTTGTTCCAGGTTAAAAGACTTTGAAGTAATGACTTGGTAAAAATCCAAGGGGGGAGGGTGCATCTCCCCCTAATTTCTCTCAGGGGTGGGTANATGATCTCGAATACTCTTTGTTTAAAGTTTATGTTATTGTGTTGTTTTTCTTTAAAGTTGTTATCGTTATTTTGATCAGTATTGTAATTATTATTTTCTTTCTTCACATGTGTGTTTGTACTGTTATTATTGATATGTTATTTTCATGAAATAATCTTATTCATCCAATAAAATTTCTGAACATTTCCTTTAAATGGATATTTTAAATATTTTCAGGAGATTCTTCTGAAGCATGTTGTTAGACTGGTTAGAGATTCAGACCCAGATATTCTTGCAGGAATAAGACATTTCTTTTAATCAATCCCCCTGATATTTTTACAATAAAATATACAGAATACCCCTGATATATTTACAATTAAATATACAGAATATCCCTGATATTTTTACAATTAAAATAAAATGTCTCTGTAACAATTAGAGTGATCTGTATAGAAATAACGTCTAATTTCTCTGTAAGGTTGAATCTCCTGTTGGTGGTGTTCGCCCTGTTCTTGATCTGCAGGGAGCAGCAGGAGCAAATAGGAACGATCATACTAGTCTTCTCTGTATGGAGGTGCTGGTGGAGACACGAACATTCCTCCTTCCAGATCCATCGATGGACAGGTAGCTTAAAGGAACTTTTAAGTAGCCTCCTACTTTAAAAAAGGTATGTCTGCTTCACGTTCTTAAACCTTCTTATGATGTTGAAGATATTGTCGATTTTATTGCTTGAAAAATGCACAGTTTTGAAAAAATCCTCTCATTATTTCTGAATCAAAAATCTGCAAGAAATCAATTTTCAAAAAGTAAAATATGGATATATCATTGATTCTTAATCCGACAAAGCATTTAAAGGGAGTGTTCGCGAAAAATGAAAGGGGATACAGGCTTACGGCGAAAAATGATCGATGGTGATCGCTACTAATGAAAAATGACCCAGAAACCAACTTGTCTCAGAAAGATGACCCTGAAACCAACTTGTCTCAGAAAGATGACCCTGAAACCAACTCGTCTGAGAAGAATGGGTTGATTGAAACTACTCCTATTTTAAAAAGAGGAATGAAACCAGGTCGGTGTAGTATATATAGTGTTGTTAACTTTTGTTAGCTTTTAAGTTTATCCAACAGCTGTACTGTACTCTAGTCCAGTGCACAACACTCAGATCTCATCTCACATAATCACATAATCACATGATCTCTAATACTCTTCTTCTTACATGATATTGATCTTTAGAAGATTCTACACTTCCTATATTGTGTAGAGTCCAGTATACTGTTAGCTGTGTAGAGTATAAGTATATAGTTGATAATTCATAATATTTTCCAACCTTTAACCTCACTAACCAGCAAGGACGATATAACAAGAATTTTTCTATTCTACAGTTTTATTTTAATTTGTTTTCTTTAATTTTGTAGAATTACCGGGATATTCTACAGTCTAGTTCGAAAAGAAGGAAATATATCAGGTAGAGAGACATAAACATTTTGATTTTATTGGGAAACATACAGAGATAGTCCATGTCTTGTTTCCCACTATTAAAGACTGTTGTAAACTAAAAGGGACTGTAGACATTTTCTTTCTTTTTAGACACTTCAATTGATTTATCGATACAAAAATTATATAACAATATATTTTTTCCCCTAACTTAAAAACTCAACAACATTGTGGCACAGCTTTTCCCATCAATATGTTTCTTTGTAGCTATATTTGAATTCGGTTTACATGTTGTTTTATTAGATTTATTCTAATAACTTTCAATGGGTCCAACCTGGTGTGGAACAAGGAAGGAACACGGACCAACCACATCAAAATATCTTCAGATTTAACATTCAGTGATGGTGATGGACCAAACCTCTGTAGAGTAAAAAAGTAGATGCTAGTTCCACATTTATTGAAAATATATTTCGGTCTGGGTTGACCCT